AAAATATGTTAAGAGAGATGCATTCCACTGTTAGTCTCGTAGCATGTTTTGGTGACTATATCATGACTCTTGTCCAGAAAGAAAATTATAAAGTTTAATAATATAAAATTAAGACTAGGGCCAATGTGCAGTTAGCTTACCACCCATTTGTAATCTCAGCACTTTCAAGGTTGAATCACAGGGTTACTTGTTTGCTCTTAGGAGTTTGAGACTTAGTCTGTGAACATACATTAACTAATTTGACCTTCTTATTTCTACAAAATATATTTAATAAATTTTTAGCCAGGTGTGATTAAACAATATCTGTAGTTCACCGAGCTTACTCATGGAGTGTGAGTGCAGGAGGATCATTGAGTACAAAGTTCAAGGTTTGTCAGTTGGGCTATGGTATTGATATATATATTTTTTTTGTGTTATATTTAATATATAATATACTATTTGTTATAGTAATTATATAATATTTTTTTTTTTTTCGCATTCTTTAACGTGGTTGTGGAAGAACAGTGTTCTAATGAGAGATGATGCATACTGCTCCTGGCAGAGATTTCCATCTCTGGAGCTTAAAGCTGTGTCTAAGAGAAAAGGTGTCCTGTTCTGGATTTTAAATCATAAATATCAAAGAGCAGAACTTGTGGCTGCCACGCTTTCAATATTTCCTACACATTTTCTATATGCTACCAGATTAATAGTTTCTACACATTCTCTGTATGTTAACAGATTTAATAGATTTCTCTTGGCATGATTAACATGAACTATTTATAACAACATTTGGACCTATTATCCCAATCTTTTAGCAAATATATACTTATATATATATATACACATACACACACACATACATACACACACACACACACACACACACACACACATATATATATATATATATATATCATCCATAGCCCACTGCAACCTTGAACTTTTGTACTCAATTGATCCTCCTGCCTCACCCTCCTGAGTAGCTGGGACTACAGATATGTGTTATCACACCTGGCTAATTTTTAAATTTTTTTGTAGATAGAAGGTCTTGCTATGTTGTCCAGGCTGGTCTCAAACTCCTGGCATCAAGTAACCCTGTGATCTCAACCTCTGAAAGTGCTGAGATTATGGGTGTAAGCCACTGCACTTGGCCCTAGTCTTAATTTTTTTTAAACCTTTTTTTTTTTCTTTTGAGACAAGAGTCTTGCTCTGTCACCCATGCTAGAGTACAGTGGTGTCATCATAGTTCACTATAACCTCCAACTCCTGGGCTCAAGCCATCCTCCTGCCTCAGCCTCTGGTGTAGCTGGGACTAAAAGTGTGTACCA